AAATCTCACACAAATTTTAATAAAGATAAAGGCAAAACCTCACCTTAAAAAAAAAAAAAAAAAAAAAAAAAAAAAAACTTTTAAACCCTGTTATGTTTAGTATAAAGTTCATTCTTAGCATGAATAAACTTAGTAAAGGTCACTGGATAAATATTTATTTTATTTAATAGTAATTTTCTTAAGTATAATTTAAGTCTTATAGTTATAAATAATTTATAGTTAATAACTTATATAAACTTAAACAAGAAAAACTATAATACGATTGATAATTGGAATTTCTAATTTAGAAATAATTTTTTTTAATTCATTTTCATCTTGGAGTATTATGAAACATAAGATAACAAGATATATTACAACATATATTTGATCAAATTTATTTAAAAAGATATGATTAAAAAAGATAAAAATAAACACAATATAAATATATAATTTAAGATATACATTAAAACATAAGCAAAGAAAGAATGAAAGTATAAAGGATAAGAATACTATAATTTTTGAATTTTCTATTCCTTGTTGTTCAATTTTAAGAATTTCTACTTCGTGATTATGAAGATTCGCTTTTTCACGTTGATCTAAACCTTGATTAAATTCATTTTTGCATTGTTCAAGATCTAGAATAAATTCACGTTTGCATTAATCTCTATTTGCATTATCTCTTTCTTTTTCATGTTCAACAAGTTTTTTTTGCAGGGCAATTATATATTCATTATGCTTTTCAAATAATTCTTCAAGTTGATTTTGTTTTTTATTGATTTCTCTGAATGTTTCTGCAAGATGGCATATTTCATGAGGTGATTTTTTACCTGACTCTGATAAAGTAGTATCGGAATCATAATTAACCAATGCAATGCAGGTGTCTTCTTGAAAAGACATATTTAATCTACCTGTTAAATATAAAAATATAAATTCTTTTATACAGAAATACAATAAAAAGATTATCAAGGTTAGTTACCTTTTTATTTATTAGAATAATATGTAATAGGAAATGATAATAGTTAAATTATTATGAATCCAATATGATATAGGAATATTTCATCAATCTGAGCAACTCTATATATTTATCTAGCTGGTTATTTGATATATCTATTTCTTTATTAACGTTATCAATGATCTGTAATTGGTTATTATATTTTTTTTCTAGATCACCATATTCTTTTTTTATATCTTCATATCTTTCCGTTAAATTTTTATTTATTATAAATTGTGGCAGTGTAATCACTATTGTAATTATATATATTATTAATATAAAAACAAAGACTTTAAATTTGGTTAGTCAGTATTACGAATAAAAGAAAAAAAAAATTAAGGTTATACTTACTACTAAATCTTTTTGAATATTGTAATCCTTCACATTGTGTTAGTGTTTGTGTATTAGAAGCATTTATACTAAACATTTTACTAATATCAATTGTGTATTTGGAATTATTTCAGTGGAGGTAATTGAACTAGAAGAAGATGAATAGTTAGACATTTTTAAAAGATTATACTGAATGATAGTAATTTATCGCTAATATTTAAAAAAAATCTTATACTATTAAATTATGATTAAGAGACAATTACATCAATTATAAGATCAATATAATGATCAAGGTTAGAGCAATTTAATCACAGGGTTGCATATATTTTAATAATGTTAAATATATCATTGAGCAATAAGTAAGGTAATCGTTAATAGATTATACTAAATTTATATAAGAATTTAATACTTATTTTTATTTTTTTTATGGTATGATATTTAATAATTAGAGAATAGTTTTAACATAAAGATAACATTTCATATTGAATAATAGATTAAGGAAATAGTATTTCAAATAAATTAAAAAGATAGTGAAATCATATTTAATATAAATTAATAATTATTAAAAATCAACACGTACAGATATCATGATAGATGTTACTATAAATGATAATACAATAGCACTCATAATATTTATGAGTTGTTTGAATAAAACATTACCTATAACCTCTTTAAATACCAAAAGTATTATTGTCTCAATTAACATAAACACAAAATATTTTATCATCTTATTTATTTCTATTATCTTAGTGTTTACCGTTTAAGTGATTAAGACTTATTCTTTGATAATAAAAAATTATTAAAAGTTTTATATAATTTAAAGAGGCTAGTTATTGATGTACAATTAAGATATTTGTAATTCCTCTTGATGAAATATTTATTTGTTTCTAATAAGAAAATATAATAAATAAATAACCATTTTAGGTTTGGTTATTTTATAAAAAAAAAACAAATTTACATATCAAATGAATTTTATTTTATTAAAACAATAAATGGTTATTCAGAAGTTATGTCAAATTTAATTTCAATATTATTTGTATTAAGTTCTTTTAATAATTTTGATCGAGAAGTAGTATTTAATAATAAATTATTTTGAATATCTAGTTCCACCCTTTTTAATAATTTTTCTGCTTCCTTTATGTTATTATCTTTTGCTTTATTCAAGTAAAATTTTACATCTTCGAGATTTCTAACTTGATTCAATTCTTCAGAATATATGATTCTCCCCAATATATAAGCTGCTTGACTATTATCCAAATCAGTAGCTTGTTTAATAAATTCAAAAATTTCTTTTTCCACTAATAGATCGTTTGTTTCTCTTTTTTTACTTTGTTCATATAAAGCAAATACGTAATTAAACATACTATCTTTATTATTCTGAATATGTGCAGAAAGCATGTAAAAGATGTACGATGCATCTTTGTTTATAGAAACACTTCTGAATCCTTTATCGTAATATAATTCTATCTAAGTATAACTATTATTTCTTTTAAAAAATTCAAATGCAGTTCTTCTCAATTGAAGAATTTCTTCTTCGTACATTTCTTTGAGTACTTCATTGTTATTACATTCATAATAAAGTTTAGTTGTCTTATTATGAAAATAAATAGCTTCACAATGTAAAATATCATTATAGGCGGTAATTATTTTGACATTATCTATGTCATTGGTTACGTGAGAATGATCACTTGCAATAAGTGGAAAATTTTTGAAAAATTTCTTCCATTTATTATTACATTTAATATAATTATCGTTAGTGATCTCATCTTTTTTACTGATTAACAAATTTATCTTTTCTAATAATTTAATAGATTTTCATCATGTTTCTCTGCAGCAAATATCAAATATTCTATAGCATGATCTAAATTTTTTTCATACCCGAGTATACTAGATGAAAATATTTTTCCGAGTTTAAATGCTGCATCTAACGATCCATTATTGTAAGCATATAAAAGAAAAGTCTCAAGTTCTTTACATAACGAATCTCTATCTGATATATTATCAGAGGTTTGAAGTTTTTTAATGATATGACTAGCACAGTCCAAAGAAGCTTCATTGTTGTTTTGAAGAACAGAAGATAATTGAAGAACATATATTCTTTACATTCATCCTTCTCAAGTCTAGCGTATCTCTGTTAGTAATAGTATCCTATTCAATAATAACTATGATTCTCTATAAATAATTTCAAAGCCTTTTTTCTTATAGCAATAGATTCTGTTTCTCTACTATTTTTGAGTAGATCAGATGCTTTGAGATGTAATTTATATGCTTCATTAAATTTTCTTCTGACTTTAATGGTGAGGTTATAATATTTCTATTGCTATCAGTAATGTTAGAGTATAGGTATTTGAGGTTTGAATGTTTATTCTATTGTTTGGTTAACTTATTATAACTTATAGAGTTGATATAATAATTTGTCATTTTGTCTAAAATGTTATTTTTTTTTTAATCAAATTTAATGTTTATATCTGTAAATTTAATGCTAGTGTTTATACCAGAGAATATTCTATGATTTATATGGAATGATTATATAGAAGTTTCATCATGTTCTTTTTATACACGATTACTTAATGAACACTTTACTAAACAACATACATAGTTTCATCATCATATTAGTATACTGTAGAACATTAGCTGAGTTTAATTATCTATCAATCTGAATTTATATATACACAACTAACTTGAAACAAAATAATTTAGAAATATCTGTATAAATTTGACAAATAAATTTATATTATCATGACAAGATATTATGGATATACATAACAAATTTTGCGAAAAATACAACTGTCTATATAATAATAAACATAATAGTAAATTATGAATATCTATAATAAGAAAATTTTGTAATCCCATATTTCCCAACTTAGATAATTCATCCAAAAAGAAAGTATATAAATTAGTTAAATATGTTCAAGCCAATCTTCATAAAATCTCAACAAGAAAAGAAATGACCAAGGACGAGCAAGTATATTATTATTATATCAGAGTAGGGTTAAGTAATATATATAATTATCTATACTAAGAATATAAAGAAAGTGAAAACCGTAAAGAATCGACCCCAGTTCTCTTTATTATGAATATATCAGAATTGTTATCCGAGTATCCTTTTGTATATATTTTCAATATGAATTATGTAGATATAATAAAATATGATTTATTATATAATTATATATATCTTAGAGTTAGAGTATTATCAGAATGTTTTATTAATGACAATAAAGCAAAGAATATATTCAATATTTTTGATAAAAACTTTCAAATGATGTCTACTCTTATAGTAGATATATTAGAAAAAGAGCTTTTGTTTTTATATAATTACTATAATTTAAGTGATAAAACATCTTTATTGAATAAAGATAAAATTCGATATAGTATTTATTGTAAATTTTTTTCTGTTAAACTTAAGAGAGATATTTTACAGAAACTTTTTAGTGAATTTAGATTCAAAGTTGAATTTTCCTTGAGAGAGAGAGAATATTGTAAATTTAAGAATAGAGCATATAGTTATTTTGATCTTGAATTTTTTGAGACAGTCATTCTAAAAGATCTTGGTATTAATCGTAAAAAAGTTAGTAATATTACTACAAATGAATTAACAAAGTTAATTCTATTAACCAAAGCTAGTATTCTCAATAAAATGATGAAGAAATCATATTAAGATAAATAAATTTATATGACTTTTATTTAGAATAGTATGATAATTATATGAAATAATAAAAAAAAATACAAATACAATAATTTATTTGTTACTATTTTTTAATTGTTTATTAACTCTTTTTAATAAATTCATCTTGATTAAAGATACTACCTTTCTTAATATTGGTAGCTTTATTTAACAGTAACTCAGCATCTTTATATTTGTTATATACTGCATATTTTAAATAACTAATAGCTTTATCCATATCTTTATCCTGAATATATGATCTATTAAGATATATTTTTCCTAAATTATAAGCAGCCTTTACAATTCCTTTTGTAGCAGATAATTTTAGAAAATAGATAGCTTCTTTTATTATAATTTTTTTGTTGTGATATATTTATATGTTTACTCTGTTTTAATAATTCACTAGCATATTTGACCTTTCCTGAAGGATCTTCTTGAACATAAGTGGATAATGTCAAAAATCCTTGTGCTATTTGTTTATTATTAGGTATGATGATGAACCCATCTCCATTTAAACCACCTAACCATAAAAAATCATTATTTTCTTTAAACATTTTATATGCCTTTTCCATAATATTATCAGATTCTTTTTCATATTTTCCTTTATATAAATCTCGAGACTTTAAATACAATAGAATAGATTTATCATGTATTTCACTTCAGAATGATGTAACCCATTCAGTTTTATTCAAATTATTAAAGTATAGATACATTTTCGTAATAACTAAGAAAGAATTAGAAAATAATTTTAATTTTTCGTCTAGCATCATGCAAGTATCGGATGATAGTTTATTTTTAAATTTGACCAAAATATAATCATCTATATTTAAATTAGGATTTATTTCCTTTAGTAATTTAAAAGATCTTGTAATATTATTGTAATCGCTGTTAATATTAGTTAAGGCAAGTCTTAAGTAAACTTCAGCGAGGAATATATTTTTTTCATATCTCATTTTCCTATAATAATAGATATATCCAAGTTTATGTTGTGCAGTAGGCTTTTTTTGTAAGTAGCTCTTATAAGTAATGCCATAGTCTTAGTAATAAGAGATTGTTTTTTTAATTGATCATTTTTATTAGTTATTTTATATAAAAGTACAGAGGTATATTTGTCTATACCATAATAGTCATTTTGGATATAGGTAGATAATATGTAAAACATTGATGCTATTTTTTGATCTATGTTGCAATTTCTATATCTAATTTCATGATAATATCCTATCTAATAATAAGATTTACTTTCGTGAAATAATTCATATGCCATTTTTCTTAAATATTCAGATTCTTCGAATTTATATTCTTTAAGAAGAGAGAATGCAAGTCTATATAATTTAATGGTCTCTTTTTCTTTTATTTTATTAATATGAACTAATTTATTAATAAGACCTTCTTTATCAAGGATATATGAGTATATTTCAACAATATTTGAATAGATTTTATAAAAGACATTCTATTCATATATTACTTCTTCGTAATCTTTTTTGGTAATTTCGTAATCTAACATATTAATGAGATGTTTATTTATTTTTTTTTTTTGATGAGTTTGTTATTTATAATAATAATTTCAATGCCAATAGGATTTACAGAATATTTGACATAAAAGTTTTACTTTATGTTTATCAGCATAGTGAACTTTATTATGATTAGCTGATTTTTGTAGATCATCTTATAATACCAAAGCATTATTAAAAGTAACAATTTTTTGTCACGAGAATCACAAAAATAGATTCGCAGCTACGAAAATGAATTCACAAAGGTTGTAGTATAAAAATTCAGAAACTATATCTTCTACTCTACAAGACATTAAAGTAATTTGGTAATCAGCAAGATAATTCAGAAGTTAGATGAGAGCTACTTTTTGAGTATTCTAAAACTTTCTATTTAGTTTGTAATCTATTTGAACTATTCTTTTTAAACTTTTTTTCTTTTTTTTAGATTTTATATATATATAGTTTCATTAAGACATTTGCAATTTATAAACAATAGTTAGATGATATGTTTATTTTTTTTTTCTATATTTTTACTATCTTTACTTTTAAAATAGCTTTTGTTTTATTTTACTTTTTTTTTAATCTTTACTAATATACTTCTCTTCACACAATAATCTTAGGTTCAATACTGAATAATTGTATGAAGTTTTAATAGTATAGCCACGATAAATAACTTGATAATTAGTAATTATTAGTATTTAATGTTGCAGATAATGTTTAAATTGGATGATATTGAAATTTGTATCTATTATTTATGATTTTTGCGATTTTAAATTTTTTATGATTTTTTTTTTTTAAAAAAAAAAGTAGTTAGGATTAGATTGGTGTTGTTAGCAAAGGATTTTGGTAGGGTTTGTATTTTCAAATCAAGGCCTTCATTATCCATGACATTAAATAAAAACAAAAAGGATTTGTGTTTATTGATAGACAAAATAAAATTTATTAGACTCACAATAATAAACTCAATATTTCTTCTTTATAGAAGATTATAAAAGTATTAAAGGCATTTCTTGTATATATTATAATGTGTCTTAATATTTAAATAAAACTTTAAAGACTAATATTAATATGATATACTGTTATTATTCTATGATCATCTCACAATTTGATTAGTCGATTGGCTAATAAAATCACGAGATGATCAACAAAATCTAACCAATTACAATAAAAGTTCGCTATACTATATTTATCAAACATAATATGTATTAATCTACTGATCAATTAATATATTTTTTTTTTTAATTCAGCAGTCATGCCACAACTTTATTTAGATTTGTTTTCCAATTGAAAACAGCATTAATTAGCTATATACTATCTAATATCTAATTTTTTAAGCCTTGACTCACCCAGTTATCCTAAGGATACCTATGTGCGATTTGCCATAGTGACCTTTGTTCTATACTAATGTAACTTATACTGTGTATAAATTATATATAGTTAATAGGAAGGACACCACAGCTCATCATGACTAACTTAAAAACCAACTTGCTACTACTTCCTCCTTTACTTCCTTGGCTATACTATCTAACGCTATTTTAAGACTAATATTATAATTTTCTGTATTCTCATCTACTCTACTACTCGCTTTTCTTGTTGTAGCTTCCTTTTTGGATCATTTTTTCCTTTTTCCCACCTATGTAACTTTTTCTTTCCTAGAAATATTTTCTTTTTTCTCTCATACTTCTGTGTTTTTGCAGATTTCTTTATATACCAATTCTATCCAAATATGCCAGAACAGGCTCCAGAATCTCGTTGTCATTCTTTCTGAGCCTAGTAGTGCCTGGATTTTTTTTGCATCTTCTTTGCATAGAGTTCCTCTCATCCATTCTTTCCTTTTTTCCAATTTTTTTTCGTGATCTTGTTGGAAGATTTTTTGCAGGTCTTCTAAGTCTCAGTTTTTGTCTTTTCTTTTATCTTCTTGCAGTCGTTCCCATGCTTCTTTTTTGATTTTTTCTAGTACCTGATGTGCTTTTTCACACGTAATTAGGTAGTCTATTGTTTTGTTTTCTCTACTACATCTTTTGCATAAGCTGTTTTTGTATGGGTATAGTTTTCTACTATTTAGAACTCTAATTGTTGAAAGAAGGTTTTCGATACACTTGATCTTGAAAAGACGTAGATAGTTTACTTCGAAATTTTGATATTAGTTACAGCATCCTCTAAAATTCCTTTAAAAGCTTTCTAGTCCTGTTTCTAGATTCTTGACTGATGTCCGTCATCATTCTTTTTCCTTAGCTATGTTCATTCTGCTTTGGATGACGTTTGGACTACTCTTTTAACGAATGCCCTTAGTGGAGTTTCAAGATTTATTCCCTTCCATTCAGGTATATACTTTATACTACTATTGCTAGTATTGTTTAGTCTCGTAGCATAAGCTATTTGTGATCCCTCTTTTGCTAAGGTATCTGCTAGGTCATTATAAGTAGCACCTGAGTGGCTTTTGATTTTTGTAAATTTCAGTAGTAATGCTTTGCTTTTATTATTATTTTCACAGTCAAGAATTCTCACTTTTGGTTTAACAAGGCTGGGGGTGGTTTCAGTTTTTATCATGCCACACAGGTGCTAGTCTCTTTTTCTTTAGGCATCACAATTTGATTATTTTGCTTTATTTTTTGAAACTCACTAACCTATTTTATCCACTCATCACAGGTTTTTTCAAGGTCTTGGTCTAGAACAGGTTGTCCTTCATTTGATCAGTCTTTCTCAGCTTCAAATTCATTTGAAGTACGAAGTTCAAAAGGCTGAGAGCTTATAGGCAGTAGCAGTTCATTTTTTTTGACTCCAATTTCATTTTGATAACAACTTCTAGAGTTGTTTATTCTATCTGCATGGCCTATTTCATCAGATAACTCAATTATCCTAGAGAATTCTTTTGAATTGTCTGTCTTAGCAGAACTTTTGTAGTGTTCAAATGCTTTTTGTTTATCAGTTTCAACTCCAATTCCTAAGTTATAACAAACTCTAACTTGATAAATTCCATTTGAATTTCTCTCATTTGCTAATTTTCTATACCAAGTAAATGCTTGAAATTCATCTTTTTCAAGTCTAGTTTTGGCAGAATACTCTTTTTAGAGAGACTAGTTCTTTACAATATTGTTATATTCAGTTGTTAATTCCCTAAGAAGTTCTTCGATGTTAATTTCTTCTTGGGTATTCAGAACCTCCAAGTATTTGTCAAGGACTTCAGTAATTGTTACTACTATTTCTTAGCAGGGTTTAGTTAAACAAATTTTTGAGAGAGGTGTTACTGATAGTGGGCTTTTTTAGTTCTTAGGAGTAATGTTTATCAGATATAAGAAGATAGGTATACAATTTTTTCTTCTTCTGATTCACTATTAATACTGACTTCTTTTATTACATCTAGCAAGAATTCAAGAGTGTAGAGAACTTCTTTTGCATTTAGGATATAGTTTCTAAAGGCTAAATTGATGATTTCTTGAACCTCAGTGGCTTGTTTTTCATTAAGAGTTGTAAAGAGCTTAATATATTCTTTTTCTGGAAATTGTATATCCTGAGGTATTTTCTGGTAACATATTTTTTTTTTTTAATTTTTTTTTATAACTTCTTTATTTATACATTATTGTTTACTTTCATATAATAATAAACTAAAATAAAATGAAATAAGAAATCATCTAAAGTAGACATGATTTGCATTCTATCTTTAGTATTATGTATCTCACAGTCACCACCAAATGAAATGAGGGGGAATTCTATGATAAGTCAATTGCTTAGCTATAGAAAAACTCTATATACCTATGAATAGCCTAGTTAAAAGAGAAGTTTAAATTTAGTCAGTAGGTTTGTGCTCATAGATTTGTAATTATTCTTAATCTTAAAGAATGAATACTACAGTACATTAGATATTCCAATATATGAAATTATAGTTATTACAGTTCATCAGATAACTAGAACTAAAAAAAATAACTACAACTAACCTCAGTATGTTAGGTTAGTTATAAAGAAGAACTACAGTTAGTCTTAGTACATCAAGAATAACTAGACAAGTTACAAGTAGGTATCATGTGGACAAGACAATAGTAAACATACTGTGTATGTGAATTTAACAGGAGTGGAGTTATAGAAAGATTAATTTAGCATAATTATTATATATTCAGTATTTAAGGTATTAGAGATCGATAATAATTTTAATAAAGAATCCAAGTTATTTAATAAGTGAAACTACCAAGAGTTATCCTTTATTACAAGTGATTACACTCTCAATATATCCCTTAGATTGTAGGCCAACGCAGGCAAATTTGCCTGCATTTTTGTATTCATTCAGCTCTAATTTACTTTTTTAAAATGCAAAAATATTAAAAAAATAATTATAGATAATAAAATTTGAAAAT